TAGAAACACCCCAGGTTTGGTCTATGGATCTGCACTTCAACATCACCTGCAATTGTTTATAATACAAAATCTCATCCTAATGTCCCCATCCTCCCTGCTCAATTGATTCATAACCTAGATTTCATCAAAATTCACACGTTATTTATAAGAGCTCATGCACAGTTTTCCACAAGCGTCACACTTTTTCTTACTTTTCTGTACAGTAATCACTTTTCAGTTCACATGAAAGTGTAAATTAAGGTTTGCAAAATACACAAGTTTGATTGTTATGAGGAGGGAAGTTGCAAAGCACAAAGCAGATGTGTTCTATGCCTAAATAATGGATGGAGGTAAGAGTACCATTCTGAGAAGTGAGCAAAGAACGACAGTGGAAAAATGCAACAAAAGAAACAAGGAAAGGAGTATGAAGAATGTCTATTGACTATTTTATAAGAAGGCGGGATTTTTTCACTCTTTTGCTGATTACTGCTATATAATTATTTCTTTTTTTATACAAAGTTGATATCAACTGATTGTATGTTTTCAGAGAAATGAGAAATAGTAAATTATTACCTTTGAAAAAAAGCAGTAAATGCGCATGACACGAGTGTGACACATTGGAGTTTTGTACCTGCTGTCTGACTTCAGCACAAAAAGACTTTAGGGACTATGGTATGTAGACATGGTGGCCTTTTGGAGGTGGTTAGAATCAGAACAGTTCATCAGGGTTGAGTCTCAATGGATAGATACTGATGGCTTCAAAAAAGGAATGAGACACAAGTTTCTTGTCATGTAGGTGCCTTGTGTGCCACATGTGTCTGTCAGTAAGAAGAACATCATCAGGTGGACCCTCAGAATTATTAGCCAACAAAAATCTCTTTTCTGTAAAACTGAACCAATCTGAAGGATGTTGCTAGATAAAGTGGAAAAAATGGCTTCAGGAAGGACACCAAGACTTTTACCAAGATATTACTTTAAATCATTACTGATTGTTGATTTAAAAATTCTTATATTGAAAAACCTTTAACTTAAAAATCTCTTATTAATAATGCATTTTTAGTGTCACAAAATTAGAAATTGTAGTCAAATTTTATAGATTCTACTGTAAAAAACTGTGAGTTTAGGTAATGTCAAATTACATTGATTTTGTATTACATACAGATAAATTTTAACCATCTGGATATAAGAAATGATTCCTTTTTTCATCATCAGTTTTCTTAAACAGAATCCTAAACATGCTGACTGTGCTAAAACTTTATAAGATTACTTTAAAGAAAACAACTTCACCAGTCAGTCTTTAAATACTTGGATGCAAGAATAATGAACTGTTATGGGGTATTCATGTTTGCAAAATGAGTTACCAGTTGGCATTTAGTGGAGTCACACAACACCCTGGTGAGATAGGTATGTTTTATGGCTGTCATTTTCTTGTAGCAAACAGGGCATCAGAGAGTAATGAAGTGCTTGGCCTCAAGGCACCTAGAAAATCAGCATCAGCAGAAAGGCTGACTTTTCTAAAAACATCTATTGTGATGAAAACCATCATGGCCAGTTTTAACAACCACTTCCTGATAGTGTGATTTTGTTCAAGTTACTCAGATTCTTTGACCTTAGTTTACTGTTTATAAATTGGGAAGAATAATACTATTTACTTCAAAGCAGTGTTATTAACATTAACTACTTCATGCATGCAAAATTTTTAAATGTAGTAGCATATAACTGGTCAACAATTTTTGCCAACCAGTTATTAGTTATGTACTTTCTGAGTGCTAAGAATATGCAATTGGACAAAAGAAATACTCCAATGAACATCAGAATCTTCTTTAAGATGAAGTGGAGCTGTATATGGATTTGTCATGGATAAGGAGACAGAGATCAAAACAAGCTGGAGAAAATATATAACGGTGCACTCTTCTAGGGCAGCATCCAAAACTCCCGCATAAGGTTTCCAGTAACCTAAACTTGCTATAATAGCAATATTGGGGTACTGGAATTAGTAGTGACTGAAAATATCCAACATGGCTACTAATTATATCCACACTACGACACACGGCTCAGGATACCATTATAGAAATATTATCATGACTGACATTCCTATTCCCAAAATGTGTCTGATGCTATGACAATTCTGAGACCTCCTAAAAAAGGTCAGAAAATGGGTAGTCACCAAATTCCTAAAAATCCCTAACTCTCCTTGGAAAACTTCACCCACAGTACCACTTTTTAAAGTCTCCATATGACAGAAAACGATAACCCCAAACCTGTGTGTTGCAGTCTAACATACATCTGCATCCCATCCTGAATGTATACTTTTGCTTTGCTAATAAATCTTATTCCTCTAGTAACCTTTATGTATATCTGGTTTGTGAATTCTATGGTATATTATGTAACCTTTCCCCTCTCTAATTAGATTTTTTTAATGAACAAATAAAGGCACACATCCTTATCAGCTTTCTTCACATGTTTATTTCCTCTCTCTCTCTTTTTTTAAATTGTTGGAGGTAATTTTATAGTGGTTGCTGACTTTTTCAGTTCCTGCACATGAGTTCTAAACCAAGAGAGAATGTTGTTAATTCAGTTAGAAAGTCATTAAGGAAAAGCCTAGCTGTATCCCACATTGACTGTAGCTTGTGTGACACTGACAAGAAATGATCTCCTTTTCTTCAGGAACATACAAATATTTGGGAATCAGATACACAAATAAATAAGCAAGATTAATTTTGACAAAATAATTTCCATAGTCTGAATGCTTATTTTTTTTAACTCCTCACTTCTCACACTGAATTAATATCCTACAAAGGCATATAGGGAGCAGGGTATTCGGGAGCAATTGGAGAGTGCAGTACTTATGGATGGCTGCTGTGTCCTGAAGGAAGTGATCCCAGAGAGCCACCTGGCTTCCACCATGTGAGAGCACAGCTTTGTGTGAATCGGAAGGCAAACACATATTCTTCTTGCAACTTGATCTTGAACTAACTCCTTGTCTAACCATATTTTCAATTCAATAGTATTGAGAATTTTTGTTTTCTAACATAATAATTTCATTCAGGAGATTAGACTATCAATAAAAAGTCTTACAGAATAAAGCCAAGTGTGCATCTAGCAGTAAATATGGATATTATATTAATCACTATTTTTTAGAATTTTACTGATTTCTAAAATTTTGATTAGCTTATGATAGTTCCTTATTAAATATGTATGATTTGTGACTACTTGAGAATACTGTGTTTTTCATCTCCAAAGATATGAAGTATAAAACATTATAAAATGAGTCAGTGATTTCTACATAATAAATATAGCCCTTATGACACAATAGTTTTATAAATTTATATTTATATTTGTGCAGTGCAATAATTAGAAATTTTTAGCACAAGATGATTTTAAGCCAGTAAATATAAACTACGTAATATCATCTGACATAGGTTGTGAACTTTGAAAGGTACATGCAACAAATTTCTGATTACGTGCTGACTTGGTCAATTTAATTTAACTCAGTAAGCTCTTTTTTCATTAGGTTGTGTTTCTACCCAAATAATTTAATATTTCTGTTGACTACATAATTATGAAGTCACCAGAGTGTCCAAAGTGGATTCAATCATGTTGTATTACCTCTCCCTTAAATAAAATTATGTTTACTAGGTAGTAAAACAAGAAAAAGTGGGTTCCATTTCCCTTTTCCCTTATATTTCTTCAGAGGAAATCCAAACTGATTTTTGATATTCCTGTTGAAGCTCAGAAACCTGTACCCCAAATATGTGCCTTTGGACTTAGAAAGTGGAGAGTACTTGTGAAGAAGCAAATGCAGGAAAGTGTTTCCCTGAAGTGTCCTTAAAGGCAGGATTCACCAGAGAGAAACTCAATTGCTTTCAATCCTGAGATTTCATTAACCCAGAAAGACTGTACTCACCTACAGAGGAAGAGTAATCTCACATCACACCTACAGCCCAGAGCAGATCTATCCCACACAATTGTCTTTGGACCTACTAATTTCTTTTAAAAATCATTTATTCCCACTCTGAAAGTGCCTGTTTCATCCTTTCCTTTCCCCTAGGAAGAGAGTATTTAAGCCTCAAATAAATGGCCTTTTAATTTGCATGGTTCTGTGCAACATGCATATTAATACTTTCATATGTCTGTTCTGAATCTTTCTATTTCAACAGATTGAGCTATCAAACCTCCAGGGAAAGTTTGACTCCTTTATATTTTATTCTAGCAAGTTAGAGAAATTCATAATATTCCTTGTTTTTATAGTAAACAATAAGAAATTATACATTTTCCCAAGAATTTTAAAAATTTCATGCTTCCTTTTTCAATATTCAAGAGTTACTATCAGTGTAGTGAGACATATCAGAATTAACTACTTGGTTTGTTTAAGATCTTTACCAAGAATACCATGATTGGAAACATGAAGGAAAGACAAAGGGTAAGGGAGAATATAACTGAGAGAACAGAATATTGAGAATAGCATTAAATGTAAAAAAAGGAAAATTAAGGCTAACAGTTGGTTTATCAATTAAATTTCTCTTGATAGCATCTTTTAAAGTAAAATAGCTACATTGAACATAAAAATATTTAATTCACTATTTCTATGCCAAATCATAGTGACATATAAGTTTAATTCACAATAATTTGCTACACAAATCTTCTTAGTTTATTGTCAATTGTATAATTTTCATAGTTGAATTTTAGTAAAATGCTATGATAACCAAACTAAATGTTGAAGAATTACTCTATTATATAACTACTTCTTACTCTATTATACAACTATAGAATAGGCCATCATGGAGATGAACATCTGGCATTTTTTTTACATTAATGTGATATAAAACAAATTAAGAAATTATACATGCAATAGTAAGAGGGTGAAAAGAGAAGTTTTCAGGAAAGATTGAAGAAAATAGTTTTAAAACTAAAGTAACGTGTCGCAACAACATGCTCTCTCGCTCTCTCTCGCGCGCTCTCTCTCTATATATAGTAATATATGTATACATAGTTTTATAGAAAGCTCCAATAGAACCTACTTTTTCATAGTACTTGATCTCGTAGTCCAGAATTGCTCCATTGGAAAAAGCGGGGGCTTGCCATGATAGCGCAATGCTATTCTGGGATGCCCAGTCCTTCCTTACCATACCTATCAGAGAAGGTGCTGAAATGAAAGGAAATAACTAAGAATTAATTGGCAGAAATCATTTTCCACAACTCTTTAATATTTTCTCTACCAAGTAAAAGGTAATTTTTATTGGACAGGATACTGACATTGATGCCTAATTAATAAAATACTTTTGGAATCAACTTTGCTCATATTTTACTCTACTCAATACCAAGGTTCTAAAGTATATTTAGAAACATTTTAGATGGCATGGGGAGAAACTTAGTTATTCCAAGAATAAAGGTAGAATCCACTATCTTGGTCTAATTATAACATATATTTAAATAAGCTTTCATACCGATGTAAGTCCATAAGTCAAACATATTTAGTCCCTATATTTTATCAAATATAAACATCATATAGAAAAAAATCTCTATAATAATAATAATTCTTGAAGCTGTCATTGCACATTTAACAAAATTTCTAATGATCAACTCAATAGTTACAGCAAGTTGTTGATGAGCATGAAGATTATCTCTGTATGGTCTGTGACATCTGAAGGAAATGGAAATATTTAACTTTGGAAGTTTATATTCAGAATCACATGTATCTTATTTTGCTAAGAAGTATATGTGATTCTACTTAAGCAATCTCATAAGCCTCCAATATTTAGCTAGAATGTGTATATTATACAATTTTTTGGTAAATTTTATAAGTCCCATCTCATTTTTAAGTATTCCAATTTTTACAAGCAGCAGCACTTGACAAAAACTGTTAAAACTCTCACAAGGAGAGGTTCATATTAATTTCATATCCATCAAAATAGAAAAAAATATAAAAGTTTTAACAACAAATTCTATTGACTATGGAAAAAAGTGCTTTGAAATATAAGTTGGGAAACACAATTTTTGATGGGAAAAGCAACAATTTGAGGTAAATTTCTGATTCATTCATATTGTCACATTTTGCAGTCAATCCAAGACACTGCTCAACACAAGCTTTCATATCTAATAAATCCAACAAAGAGTCAGACATCTTGAAAAAGAAGTAGATAGAAATCTTGAAAATGGCAAACTAAGTCAATCAAATAGTTCAAAGCCTCAGAGACAAACTAGATCAAGAAGAAAGAAAACCTGAACTTGAACACAGGACTTTGGAACTATGAAAGTCAAATGAAAACTAAACCAAAATGTCAGCAGCCTCTGAAATACCTGAGATAACATTAAATGAACGAATAATCTAATTTTGTATGTTCTTGAATATCTGAAATAAAAATATTCAACAAATGCGGGAATGTATTCAGTAACAATAGCTGTTGGGTGGATGCAAATCAAAATCACAACGGGAAATCACCTAATTCTATTTACAATGTCTGTTATTAAAAAGAGAAAAAGTAGTAAATGCTTGTAAGTATATTGGGAAACAAGAACCCAATATACTTCTTACAGAATCACAAATTATTATAGCCATTCAGGAAACAGTAAGATTCTTCTAAGAAGTAAAAATCAATGGGGGGAGGGTTGTGGGAGGAGCGGGGGAAATCCCAGTGCCTATAAAACTGTATCACATAATACAATGTTATTAACAATAAAAAAAAGAAAACATACAGTATACAAAAATAAAACATAAAAAATTTAAAAAAAGAAGTAAAAACCAATTAACCATATTATCCACCTGCCTCACCTTAGAATACATATATGATAGAAATGAGATCAGCATATCAAAGATACATGCATGCTCATTTTCACTACAGTAATATTCACAAGTCTGGGTTTACATTCAAAGTGTCCACCAGTGGATGAATGGGTAAAGATAACATGGTATACATGCAGAATACATTCAGTCATTTAAAAACAAAAAATGAAACTGTCATTTGCAGAAAAATGGATAAACTCAAGGCTACTGTTACATGAAATAAAATTACAGAAAGACAAACAACAACTATATGCTCTCATATGTGTAAGTTTATGAAGAGTCCATTTTAATTTAAAAAAGTGATTAGTAGAAGTTAGGAATGACGGATGCCAAGGGAAAATAGAAGGCTGGAAAACAACTCAGTGTCTGTCCCAGTGGCTTATATTCACTCGGGGAACCACATTTCATATAAACTTAATTCACCTGTGGTTCTTTTGTTTTCTGACTAATCACAACCAGAAGGTCTTCAGGTGGACAAGTGCATGCCCCGAGAGAGGCAAGCAGAGTATTTGGCCAGTTATCTTAGGAATGTGCGCTACCTAAGGCTCTGGTCCTGCCAACCATCGGACTGTGTCAATGCAGTATTTCTTACACAGCCTCGGTTCTCACACAGCTGGCACTGGTCTGTCTCTGCTTCTCTGGCTGCTGCTGACCTTCCCAAATTACCTCTTACACCTGAGCCTGAAGCACCTTAAGGCTAACACCTGTGTTCAGTCTTTGGCCATCTACTCCCTCGTTGGCAGAATGCCTCAGCAGAGTTTGTCTTCAAAACACATAATTTCAGCTTTTGGCACAAATTTCCTTTTGGTAAGGAAATGTAAATTCTACTCACTGGATTTGATCATTTTATGCTCTATACAGATGTTGGCAAATTGTGCTCTGGCCTACCAGAAAGATACAATTATTTTTTAATTGAGAAAAGAAGTTAAAAAAGAGAAAAGATACTGAGGAGTGGTTTTTGGCAAAGCGCTTTGAAGACACCATGTGTGAGGTTCACATCTCTTATGGGAGTGCGTGTGTTTGAATACGGGCTTCATTTCCTGCTCCCTGCTGAGGCATACACTGGGAAATAGCAGGTGCTGCTGCATCTTTGTTACCCATGTAGGAAACCCAGACAGGGATCCATGATCCTCTCTTTGGTCAGCCTACAACCCAAGTGTTGTGCGCATTTGGAGAATAAAACAGAGTACGAAAGAAGTCTGCTATCAAATAATAAAAATAAATCTCTGCTCTGCTTCACTCCACAAGTGGCCACAATGGCCAGTGGCAAGCTGATTTGCAGCAAGAAGCCAGGAGCTTCTTCCAGGGCTCCCACAAAGATTTGCAGAGAGGAAAGACACAGAGGAAGCCCTTCTGTTTGCAGGCTCAGAAGGGCCAGGACTGAGCCAATCTGAAGCCAAGAGCCAGAGGCCAGGGATTTATTCCAGGTCTGCCACATGGGTGCAGGGTCCTGATGTTTTTTTGACCATTCTCTGCTGCTTTTCCAGGCCTTAAAAAGGAAGCTGGATGGGAAGTGGATCAGCCAGGAAATGAGCTGGTGTCCATATGGGATGCTGGTGCATGCAAGGTGAGGATTTAACCATTAGGCTAATGCACTGGGCCATAATTATATATGCAAATTTAAACATGGACACCTGGGTTCAAGGAAATGCAGAACGCTTTTTTCTCATCTTCCACTTTCCTTTTATTTCCAAATATTCATAGCTTACACAATTGTAAAATAACACATAATTTAAAACAATTCTAAATACTTGAAACAATATATCCTAAGCCTTATTCTACATTTTCATGCAACTTCTATAATTATTATTTTAATGGCTAAAATATTTAGTGATGTTGATTTCTATCAATTCACTCATCTAATGTAGAACACTGAAATTCCCAATACTATCTTTACGTTTTTGGGGTTTTATGCACAATCTTTTGATTTTGTTAATTTTTTTAATTAGAAAAGAGTGTCATGTAAATATGGAATTTCACAGCCATACTGTATACTAGCATTTTTCTCTACAAAGAACTCTATCTGACTCAGTGCTATGTCCCAGCAGGTTAAAATGCTGGCATCCCATATGCTTGCCAATTTGAGTCCTTGGCTGTCCCCTTGCAATTCAGCTCCCTGCTAATGTGCCTTGAAAGGCAGTGGAAGATGGCTTAGGTACTTGGGTCCCTGCAGCCATGTGGGAGAACCAGATGAAATTCCATGTTCCTGTTTTTAGACTGGTCCAGGCAGGACTGTTGGATCATTTAAAAAGTGAATCAGTAGGGGTGCCGTGGACCCAGCAGGGACGGGGTGACCCCGTACATGCGGGACTCGAACTGTGATCGCGGAGGGGCGGAGAAGTCTGGAGCTCAAGGCGGGGAGGACGGGAAGGAGCCGAGGGCGGGAAGATGGCGTCGCAGCCGGGAGCAGGCCCAAAGGGGCGCTGGAATCTGGGTGCAAGGGCCGGGGGTGGCGGAGTGCACGGAAGGCCATGCCACCCCGACTGCTCCTGAAGGAAGGCCCGGGAGGGACGGGTCACACCGAGGGGCCCCGCTGAGCCCCAGCCACCTTCCTGGAGTCCTTGTCCTGTGACAGTTTGTGGAAGGGCGGGGGGGTGCTCGGCCCCAGATGGCAGCTCCGAGCCGGGGTTTTGGAGAAAGGAGACCACAGCCCTCCCTGACCTGTGGGCTGTTAGACGAGAGGACAAGAGACGGGGTGTGAGGTTGGGTAAAGGGCGCGAGGGGGCTGGAGAGGCGAGGCAGGCCTCAGGGACACAGGGCAGACTGAGCCCAGCGGTGTCCTCGGGTCCCCTTCCCCGCTCCTGGGGCCAGGGTTGCCGTCCAGCAGGCTCATGCTGACTGCCTCCCCCATCCAGGCGTGGCACTGGTGCCCTTCTCCCGTCACCCCGGGGGGCAGGGGAGCTGGGCAGCCTGCCTGTTGGGGGCCCGCCCATGGGAGGAACCCTCAGAGCAGGAGGAGGAGGACAAGCAGGTCTGGTGCGAGGCTGCTGTCCCCAGCTTGGAATGTTGATGGCTTTGGTGGGCCTTGAAGGCGACGTGGGGAGCACCTGAAGCGCCTGGCCAAAGAGGCCCCAGACCCCGGTGTGGGGAGAGGGCTGGCTCTCCCTTGCATTGTGCCTGGCGCGGCAGCCTAGTGGCTAAGGTCCTCACGTTGGCACACACTGGGATCCCATCTGGTCGCTGGTTTGTGTCCCAGTGGCCCCTCTTTCCATCCAGCTCCCTGCTCGTGTCCTGGGAAAGCAGTCGAGGATGGCCCAAAGCCTTAGGACCTGCACCCAAGTGGGAGATTTGGAGGAGGCTCCTGGCTTCGGATTGGCTGAGCTCTGGCCATTGTAGCCACTTGGGGAGTGAATCTCTGTCTC